CTGGTACTAGATAACTTAATATTCAATACTCTATGACTCAAACACCATTCATAGCTGACAGGATTTAAATGCACTGTACATGCAGCAAGAAAGTTTTATAATAAGACACAGAAGTGATTGTAAAATGCGAACAAACACTTTATGAAGTTTTAATGAGATACACTGTACTAAGTGTCTTTGATTCAAAATAAAAAAAGCTTGCTGAAAATCTCTACTGAGTACATTGCATCCTAGATTTTCATTAGATGGCTATTCTTTCTTTACCCATAAATACACAGTTAGTGAAGTGGCTTTTCTGTAGCGCAGAACAGATTGTATATTGAGTACAGTAAGTTTTAATGTCTATATTTCTTGTATATCTGTGCCGTAAGTTGGATATAGCTGATGGAAAGTTGATTTGGATCACAAGAGCATCAGTGAATTTATTTCTTCTTTATAATTACTGTCTGCGTAATGTTCTTATTCCTGGGAATTTTATTTTTAGGTTGAGTTTAATAAAAAAAATAAGACCTGGGAATTTTATTTTTAGGTTGAGTTTAATAAAAAAATTAGAGAGAGACCACAGTCCTGAAGTTTAGATTCAGAAGCTTCTCCAAATTCTAAAAAAAATGGACTGCTATTATGGACTTCAGCATGAGCTGGAGTTCAGCATTTTTGAAAATAAATCTATGGATTTCTCCAGATGGACTGGCACACTAAAATGGCAGCATGCCAAGTTAGTGGGTAGTTTTCAAACAGTTTTGGTAACTAATTTGTTCCTTGTTTTACTATACTTTAAAATAGGCTATTAATACTAATCTACTTTTACAATATTTTATATAAATTTATTAATATTTGTAAATTACTATTAAATCCTCAAAAGAAAGCACAGAGAACAGTTTTGTTATATTGATTGCATGGTCTTTTCCAGTACCATGTCTCCTACTTCATCATCAAACTATTAATAGAATATCTTTTATGTGAGCCCCAGCCAGAAATGAATATATAAAATCCTTAGAGCGAATTTGTGACTGTTCTGAGAACCCTCAAGCATTTTAAACAGTACTGTATCTAAAATGAGAAGTACATAGCACACTAGATCTTATTTTGCATGCAAACCCAAATGGATCTTTTGAAAAAAATGAATATCTTAAAATGAATCTCAAACAAACTACACTTCATTTTGAAGGCCTGTAACCCTGTTAAAGCTCCTTTGCATTAGGTTTAGCTATATCCAGTGCATGCATGCATCTCCAAAAGGATTTTTATTTCAGCATATTTTTCTGATAAAGACAGTAAATAAAAAAATCAGCAGAAAACATGTTCATAATGGTATCATATAATCATGCAATTAGCACACTTAACAATTAATACATAGATTAATTGTTATAATAACACTATATTAAAAAAAGGATTTATATGTATGGTAAAATGACAAGAGATGCCAAAAGGCCTGCAGGAATTGTGCACAGTAAACACTTAAATCAAGCACGCTTATCTATGATAACATGTTGCAGTGCAGTAAGCTATCCCAAAAGTAAAATGAATATGAATATTTATTTACCTATATCTATAACAAGCCATGAAACATACCTGCCTGCCAAACAAATGACCTGTAAATATCCAAAAGTTTTTATACAAGAATCTTTTAATCTGGCAAAGAAAACAAATTTACCTATTGTATTCTAAGATCTTTGTCTCTGCTTTGGATATCAGCACACAAAAAACTAGACCTTCTGTATTTTCTCATCTATCTCAGAGATCAGATTTATAACAACATAGCTATGTTTACTTACAGAAGCATAACAGAAATGTTTGCACTGAAACAAAAAGTGGGTTTCCTGAGCATTAATATTACAATATAACATCACCACTGACCCCAATTCAGCTGAACATTTAAGCACATGCTTCAACTGAGGCAAATGTGTTTTGAGATTTCTTGATCTCTAATTGCCTGCCGTTCCTGGCCAATGGGAGCTGCAAGAAGCAGTGTCCCAATCCCACTTTAATGGGAGCTGCAAGAAGCAGTGTCCCACTTCCCACAGCTGTCATTGGCTGGGAATGACAATCTGTGTCCAATGGGAGTTGCGATCCTCCGTACCAATGGTGGTGCAGGTAAACAAAGCATCTCATGGCCAACAAGTGTATTGCTATTAAAAGCAACATTCCAGAGTTTGAAAACCCTGCTCTAACTGATTCGCATTATTCATAAGGAAATTATGTTTCAAAACCAATTTCTAGAATTATATTTGTTAAATGATTGGAATACCTCAAAAACAATTTTGAAGTGAAGACATTACATTAACTGGCAGGTTTTGATGGTAAAATGTTTAATTATAATAAAAACAAGAGAATTATTGTTAGCCATAAAAATCCAAGATATTCATCAATTAAAGGAAAGGGTTTGAAATGCTACAAGCATAGTTTCTTAGATATTTACTGAGTCATTCTTAATTTAAGAGGTGAGACTAGAATGAGGTATCATGAGGCCTCTGTCTATACTGTTCACAGAGGATGTGCTATATGATAATTAATATATTTTATCAGTCTCTAACTACACCCTAAATAGTATTTTCATACATTGCTCAAATTTTCTATCTCAATGATAGGATAGTATTTCTAATATTCAGTTAAATGTATAACCCAAGGCAAAGGAAGGGAGAACCCTTGTGTACATACACTATGGTCACCATTAAAAATGTGTCTGCAATGTATAATGGTACATACATCATGGATTACTAGGACTCATAGGCACAGCGGTAATACAAATAACAAATACCACCACCATCATGTACTATTCATGTGCAAGCATTCATTACAAGAAACGACTTTGGGGGGTTATAGCAATGGTTGCTTCTGAAAACAATATTCTGCTTACTAGGCCTTTTTCTCACCTTACTTCTATTGATTCATCAGAGGTCTAACTCCACTGACTTCATTGCAATTATTGCTTCTTTTTACCTCACGGGAAGAGAGTCAGTATTTTTCCTTTACAGCTGAAGATTTTTTTCCCTTTTCCAAATGGGTGAAATAACCTAGTCATGCATGATATATTGTATGTCAAACTTCATGCCAGAGTAAGGTCTTTTTCTTTTTTGGTATGAATTAGAAACAATGCTAAGAAAAGTCGTTGTCACTTAATGAAATTATTAGGACTTTTAAAGCAAATATTAAGTTATTATGTCAGAAATCTATACAACATGGTTCTATTTTTCATCTGTTGGAAAATTATGTATTGTAATTATCAAAACAACTTTTAAAAATTATGGCTATCTGTGCTCCTATTCTATTCAGCTGTTAAGTAAATATAATGTATTATCATTACCATCAGATAATCATAATCTGTTGCAAATATTATTAAATAGACAAGTAAACATCAGAGTAGTGGATTTAAGTGAATACCAAGGCAAATAAACAAGAGTTACCACTGCAGCCATAATCATCATGAATACCAAGGCAAATAAACAAGAGTTTACTGCAGCCATAATCATCGGAGATAGCTCGAAGTTGCTCCTAGCAAATGGCCCTGAAAACTTCCACTTGTTCTCCAAGTATTAGCATGAATAATGTTAATGCTGGGCAAAGTGTAGGTAGAAGAATAAAGAGAAATATCAAAAAGGGGAACTATAAATGCTATGAGCTAAATACTACCTGTAATTTCACCATTGGGGTTACATGAGTATGACTGGGAGCAGAATTTTGTATATTTTATATTGAAATGGAAGCAACCCTATCATTCAAAACCAAACTTTGTTCTGATTTGTACCAGCTTAGTTCCAGAACATTCCTTTTGAATTCAATGGAAGTTTGAAGATTGTCTTGATTTACATTGCAGTAACTGAGAGGAGAATTTGGACATACATAAGTGAAGATGCAATGGCTGAAAGTCAGATTTGGAATAATTGATACCTATAAGTACCTATGGCTATACAGCCACTCCCTGACTTACGAACACACCGACTTAAGACCATCCGTTCTTACGACCAACCTCCCATTAACCCCATTATAATATTTTCGAGTTGAGAACCATGTACATCAAGTTTTTTGAACAGCACGGGCAGCGCGTTTAAGAGTATTTCTGACTTACGACCAAATCAAGTTACGAGCAGGTGTTCAGAATGTAACCCGCTCGTAAGTCAGGGACTGCCAGTATCTCTACTTTTTTTCCTATCATTAATGAGCTTATAATATTTTAAAAATACCCAAATACAATAACAAGGTGGTAGGAGCAAGGGAAGACATTTAAATATTTCCTTGAACATCTCTGAACTTACCTCTTTCTGCAAATTTTCCAGATATTACAGAGTGAAAACAAATTAGGATTGTTTCAGTTGACTGTCCAGACATATATTTTACACATGCCTTAAATTCATGGACTGGTATTTCTTCTATTTCACTCCCAGATCCATCAAATGTAGTAGTGCAACCCAGTATAACAAAGTAGCAATGAGTGCCAAGCACAGTAATTTAAAAAAATATGTATTACCAACAATAAAGAATTAAAGGGTATCAGACCGCTGTGTGATGAATTGGGTAAAGTCTTTTAATACAATGCCTTGGGTTGGCTTTGGTGTATTTGGAGAATATAAATCTAACATTATAAAAATTGGATTTAAAAGAACTTTAAAAATGTTAATTATATTCATAATTTCAGCCCAAAATGTCAAAGAATCTCTTGAAGGGTTGCATTCTACAAAGCAGGAGATTTGTTTAGCAATACAGATTATCACTCACAGTACAGGCATCAGTCATCTATACCCTGTGGCTACTTCAACTGTAAAACTCTTTAACATAAGCAACAAACCTCCCAGTGTATATTAGACTCATAATGTAGACATGGGCCCCTTGGAATTAAGATGCCTCACATGAAAGCACTAAGAGCTCAACAAATAATTTCTGAATGTCACTGATCCTGGATTTTTTTTAAACTACTTTCTGCTCCTTTGACAGATGTGTTATGCTGCATTTCATTACTTTCTTGCCTTACCTCGTTCTTCTTTTGTTTTAGATAAGTGATGAGGCTTTCGGGAAAGATTAAGCACTGCCAGGCAAAGCAATGGCCCAAACACGGTTTTAATTGGAACCTTGAATCCTGTGCAAAATATAAGAAATTAAACCATTAATAATATGATTTTACCAGCAGACACAGTGTGTTCATATTATTTCTCAGACAGCTCTTGCTATATTTTGTTCTATCAAATTCCTTCAGGTAGGATCAGGTGTTGTAAATCCCCCGAGCCAAATCACAATAAATAAAAAAATTCTAGATTTCACATTATGAGATTTCATTGACGCAAACCATGAGCCTGGTCTTATACTCCCTTACTCATTTGTGCAGTCTTGACATCAAAAGGACTAGCTATTTGTGCAGTCTTGACATCAAAAGGACCAAATCTATTTAGGAGTGTCTATTTAGGAGAGCTTTAAAGCCCTTAGTTTCTTTTCTTTTGTAAAACAACTTCAAAATGTTAGCACTATTAACCAGTACTAATTCTTTTCTTTTATTGTTACAACACATCCCTGGACTAATGAATTCATCATAGAATCCAACTATGGTGTTCCAATTTGACCTGAATTGAAACCAGGATAAAATGCTGAACAACTCAAGTTGCTGCAAGACAGAACACAGGGAAAAGAAATTTCATTTCTCAGGAGGCCAACCAAGACTCTAAACACAAACACCTCCATAAAAGAAAACCATAAAAGCAATCTTTTAGTGAGTCAGAGGTTATACGTTGCAGTGCTGGACAGATGGCTATAACATAACCAACAAAATAACCCAGCCCCAAAATGATGTATCACATTTTTTACTGTTTCTACGCTGTCCAACAACGAGTATTCTTGGAATTGTGATATGTATTCAGACATATCTTCCACAGTAATGATCAGACATCTAGTAGAACAGAGTGTCTATAAACCTTCTGCCTTGGTCTACCTGGACAGATGGCTATAACATAACCAACCCTCTCCCCTCTCTCCCCTCCCCGCGTTTCTAGCAGGCAAGGAAAGAAGTTCTCTCTTTGTGGGATGCCACCAGTGCTGGACCCAGCGCATGTGGGTCACAGAAGTAAGCCGAGCCACCTTCTCCCCGCAACCTGCTCACAGGCTCCTTCCCTAGCTGGCACCTTCCCATGCTTGCTTATTCCCAGACCGAGGGTACTGCAATGCTGTCCTGGGACACGGGCTTCTCGGGGGTGGGGAGGAAATGGGGAGTGGCGGAGCCCGAACGCCTCGCGATTAACTGGTTGAGGCCTAATAGTTCTGTAATTTCACATTTGAGTCCACTGGTCAATCTTAGTTCTAGCCCAGGGCTACAACCATGCCAAGGGCTGCAACTTAAGCGTGATTGCATATACATGCAAATATATATGCAAAAATATGCAAATAGCTTCTTTTACACTGAGGGGCATGAATACAAAGATTAAGGCAAGACTACACAACATGCAGGCCCCATTTAAGTTAGTCCTGCTGATATTAATAAAATGCAATATTTCCACCCATATGACAACACTTTTCATGAGCAATGACAGTCCAGGAATTTAACTACTAAAATGCATATCAACAGATGAACATTATATTAACTAGCCATTGTGGACCGTGTTCCCAGTGGAGGCCATGTTCAAAGGATCCCACCCACAGGCCATGTGTTAAGCCCCACATAAACCCAAGCCACACTGCAGGCCGCAAACAAACAGGCTGCAGGCTGCATGAGGCCCAGCCACAAGTTGAATACCCCTGTTCTAGCTCAAGAAGACTTAAAAAAGCAAAAAAGTAACCAATAAAAGCACAGGAATGCAAGGTAGAGATTCTTGTTGTTTAGTCCAGAGCCCTCATCCAGAGCATAAAATCTGCTGTCTCCTTGCTAGGTCCAGACTGTTAAAGCAGTATATTTTTTGATTGTGTGATTTCTTCTTGAAGTGGTTAATAGATTTTTGATGGTAAAAATAAGTGGATGATTTTTGTCTCCACTGTTTCAGATTGTAATTTTTCCTCTTATATGTTTATGTACACTACAACCATACACACTGAAGGATTAATTCTTTAGTGCATATAATGCCTTAGTAGTCTTGGAGCTATAAATTTTATGTTCTTTAGAAGGTAAGACCTCTATTGTCATCTGGAAACCAGAAAAAAACAATGAAGAATATCTCCTCACTGTGACACAAATAGCCATTTACCTTGTGGCTTTAACAGCAGCATCTAAACATGCCTGAAAGAGTTATCTTAACAATTAATTTCTCCTCAGCACACACAGATTTGAACTGTTCCTTAGGTCCCCAGAAGTTTGTCCAATAACTAGGAAACTATCCCATTGTAAGATAGTCTACCATAGCTAGCAAAACCCAATGGCTGGCTATTCTGACTTGTGAACTATCTAGAGAATACTTTTCCTCCACACATAATATCTAATTTCTTTATTCCTTGTTCTCTGGGGAGTGCTTTGCCTGGACCCAATTGCCTTAATTTTTCCTTTATATGAATCACAACCACTGATTCTAGGGTAGGGTGAGCATAAAAAGTTTCCTAGGGTTGTGTCTACACAGCACTCGAAATAAGCTGTGAAATTTGCGCTATGCAAATTCAGCAACTTAATTCAAGTGTATTTTGAAAAAGGTATTCTGTAATCTGGCACTGTGTACACTGTGCCAGATTTTGAAATAAAACACTATTTTAAGCCATCCGTTACTCACCGTAGAATGAGGTTCACAGGGATGGCAAAATAGCGCGTCTACTATATTTTGAAATAGCAGATGAATTCTAATGATGTGGGGTAGCTATTATGGGATACCTCTGGTATCCCGAAATAGCACTGCAGTGTAGACATACCCTAGGTTACCTACATTGAGGTGAGTATTCATTGGTAATAAAAGTATCAGGGGGGTATCTGTGTTAGTCTGTATCTGCAAAAACAATAAGGAGTCCTGTGGCACCTTAAAGACTGACAGATTTATTTGGGCATAAGCTTTAGTGGCTAATGACCCACTTCATCAGATGCATTTGATTCAGTGGGTGTTTGCCCAAGAAAGCTTATGTCCAAAAAAATCTGTTGTGGTATTGGAGGACAGCTATCATATCTCTATGGCTGTAGGTTCAGACATGGGAATGGTATTCCAAAGTCCATACTCCATTTGACCTAGAGATAGACTTAATCCCTACTTGAGGAATCTCTACTTGAGGAAGAATTTTATTTTCTATGAATTACTATCAGATTAAATTTCCCTACTAGGGTGGAAATTTGGAATTGAAATTAGCACAGCAGAAATGGCATTATTTCTCATCCATTGTTTTTAAAAGTTGTCTGCTTAGATTTGTGTTCTTTTCACATATGTCCTAGTAAGCTGTTTATTAATTATTAATCATGTTATGTTAATTACTGTAGTGCCAAAAGGTGCCAGGAATGTGACCCATTTCGTGAGGCCCTGTACATACACAGTGTATTAGTCAGTCCCTGCCCTGATGTGATTACAATCTAAATAGACTACACAGACACAGGTTGGTGGTACAGTAAAATATGAGATGAATGAATAATGTGCAATGTTTCTTATCACACATGAAATGAACAGACTGCTGGCCACAGTACTAGGAAGTGACAGAATAATCATACAACATTAGAAAAGTCTTAAGGAAAAATCCTTTCTTCAGAATACTGAGCTTTATAGGACTGTGAGGGCAGAGGAGGAACTATGAGTAGAAGTCCTTCTGGGATAGGACAGACTGGTTTGGAAGGGATGGGAACCATATGTGTCTTTGGGTTTACAGCCTAAAGGTGTGTTCCTACCATGATCTAAGTAACACATGTGAGCTCTCCTAGTGGAAACAAGACATTGTAGTTTTACCAAAAGGTAAAGTAGGCAATGTCACCCATATAACATTGTCTTTGCCTAGCTATTTCTCAGTCAAAAATTCACAGTTTACATCATAGTGCTTTCTGTTCCTTTGAACTCAAGAACTTTGTGATCTCACAACATACCCTTAGGGAGCTTAATGCCTCACCAAGTGCTATACTGCATCTACAGGGTTATAGTGTTAACTGAGTTAATTAATCAAGTCAGTCTGTCAGATATATCCAGAATATCCTGAAATAATCGTCCTGACTTTATGGAGGGTAGTATCACACATCCAGATAGTTTCATTCCTTTCCTGACATGTTCAGACAGTAAATTAAAATGGCTCACTGAAAAATAAGAGACAGCTACATAGAGTATTCACCTTTCATTTTTAATGAGATGAACCCCTCGAGTCTTGTCACAAACTCATTTATAGGCTCCATTTGCTCAGAGATCACTTCCAATATGAATTTTTTTTAAAAAAGATGGCTTTGTGAAAAACATAGTGTTACTGTGTCTAGCAGCCTTTTGTAGTGTAACATATTTGAGTACTTTTCCGGTTAAACAAATACCAAACCATTAACACCATTCTTATTGTCATCATCATCATAAACCTACCACTCTACAGCATTTGCACCAGAGCTCACAATCCTGTCAGGTTTTTAAAAATAAATTATCCTAGCTACTTATTAAATTTGGTCCAGCATATACTGTTAATTAAAAACTTTTAGCTAAATTGCAGTAGGCCACAAATAGGGATTCTAGTCTCCCTTTGATTGGCATAACTCTGATTGATGCTAATAGATATTATGCATATGTATCTAAGGAGACAATATCACATTGTATGAAAAATATACTGAAATGTAACAACCAACACAAGCTCTCATCTCATCCAAATATGCAACCAGCATATGTCTAAATAAAAGTAGAACAGTTAGCACAATTTTCAGAATGAAATAAATATGCCAGCAAATTAGAAAATCACTAGATGTTGTACAGTGTTATAATGCTAATTCATTTTTTTTGTCAAGGGTGGGGAGAGGGGGTTTGAGGGCATGTGCTACCCCCACATAAGACAGAATGGGCTTCTGGAGAGCCAATCAGCTGCATCCTGCAATAGGTGACACAGGTGTCAAGTTTTGGGAAAGGATAAAAGGAAAAGCCCAGCTCAGCAGCTACTTGACTGGAAGGGAGAGCAGATTTTCAGCTCTCTGTGTGGGAAAGAAGGCAAGCCCCTGCACATCAAGGCCTCCCCAAGAAAAGG